CAATGTTGAATTTACAGAATTTGGTTGTTGTGTGGTTTACATGTAGTTAACCCTTTCAGGGTCCAAGGCCCAAATCTGGAGTCACGCACCAGTGTCCCAGAATTTAAAAAAAAAAAATTTTGTTATTTTTTCTTATGAAATCATAGAGAATCTTTTTGTGAAGGTAATAAAACAAAAAGTACGAAATTTGGTGGAAAATTGACGAAATTATGCTCTCGCGAATTTTGATGTGTCAGCGATATTTACGAATCGGCGATTTTGCCGACTTTGACTCCCATTTTAGGCCAATTACATTATTCCAATCAACCAAATTCTTAGCTATTTCACTAGTATTACTTCTATTCTATCAATTGAGCACAAGAAATCGCCAAGTCAACTGTTTCAACTACAAAATAAAGTGATCGAAAATTGTTAATTTGGCCAATTTAACACAAAGTTCAAAATATTCCAATTTCAAAATAGCGTCCAGAATGAACAATGTAGGCATTCTTGGCACTAAACTAACATTTCCTCTGTTCATTAGTTATGTTTTGAGGCTTTACAAATAAATTCCATTTTGATTTTTTATTCACATAATGAATTTTTATTCACACCAAAAAATAGAAGATTTACTGTTATGCAATACTGTAATAATTGTATAAATATCATCACCATATTTGTGAATGTATATTAGACCCACCAGCTGACGTGTATTAGACTTGTGAGGTCGTTTGTTTACTCTTGAATATCGGCAAAAATTTAACATTTCCGCTACTTTGAGCTCAGTTTCAAGCCATTTCCAATGCTAAAACCAATCAAAATCATCTCTATTTCTGTAATATGTCTTCCATACTATCAAATGAGACCAAGAAATCGCAAATACAATTATAAAAAATATACGAAAAAACACTGCAAAGTTGCTGTTTTAATCGAAAAATCATGATTTCATTTTTTTTCTCTCATTATACACAGTGTGCTGCAGGATCTGTTTTATGTGGTGCACACATACCACATAGATGTATTCTCTCATATCTAGGCCCAAATGTACCACTCACAGTTTATCAGAGTGAGCTGAGCTCATGGCGTAGATCTACGGTTTGGACCCTGAACGTAAAGCCGTAGATCTACGGGACGGACCCTGAAAGGGTTAAATAATGATTACAGAGTGTACCACTAGAACGCCTAGCATGGCTAGGCATTTCGGGCAGACTTAGTTTAATTCTTTATTTTAAAATATTACAGATGAGGTTAATCATAGAATAGATGGGGAAAAAAGGTGAGTGGTGCATTGAGGTATATGTGGAGACAAAAAACATTATCTATGGAGGCAAAGAAGGGAATGTATTAAAGTAGCATAGTGAGGAGGCAGCTGGAGGCAGTGGAGATGTCCTGTCTAAGGATAATGTGTGGTGTAAATATTATGCAGAAAATTCGGAGTGTGGAAATTAGGAGAAGGTGTGGAGTTAATAAAAGTATTAGTCAGAGGGCTGAAGAGGGGTTGTTGAGGTGGTTTGGTCATTTAGAGAGAATGGATTTAAGTAGAATGACATGGAGAGCATTTAAATCTGTAGGGGAATGAGGGTGGGACAGGGGTCATCCTTGAAAAGGCTGGAAGGAAGGGGTAAGGGAGGTTTTGTGAGCGAGGGGCTTGGACTTCCAGCAGGCGTGCGTGAGCGTGTTCAATAAGAGTGAATGGAGACGAATGGTATTTGGGACCTGATGATCTGTTGGAGTGTGAGCAGGGTAATATTTAGTGAAGGGATTCAGGGAAACCGGTTATTTTTATATAGCCGGACTTGAGTCCTGGAAATGGGAAGTACAATGCCTGCACTCTAAAGGAGGGAGCTCAGGATATTGGCAGTTTGGAGGGATATTGTGTATCTTTATATGTATATGCTTCTAAACTGTTGCATTCTGAGCACCTCTGCAAAAAAAACAGTGATTATGTGTGAGTGAGGTCAAAGTGTTGAATGATGATGAAAGTACAGTGGACCACCGCCTTACGATATTAATCCGTTCCTGAGAGCTCATCGTAAGCGGAAATTATCGTTAGCAAAATTAATTTTCCCCATAAGAAATAATGGAAATCAAATTAATCCGTTCCTGACACCCCAAAGTATGAAAAAAAATTTTACCACATGAAATATTAATTTTAATACACACAAACTGAAGAAGACATGCACAATTACTACTCTACTAAGAATAGAATACATGACACTTACCTTTATTGAAGATCTGGTGATGATTGAAGGGATGGGAGGAGGGGAGTGTGTGGAAGTTATTGTTTAGAAGGAGAATCCCCTTCCATTAGGACTTCAGGTAGCAAGTCCTTTTCCGGGGTTACTTCCCTTCTTTTAATGCCACTAGGACCAGCTTGAGAGTCACTGGACCTTTGTCGCACAACAAATCTGTCCATAGAGCTCTGTACCTCCCGTTCCTTTAAGACTTTCCTAAAATGGGCCATAACACTGTCATTGTACAGGTTGCCAACATGGCTTGCAGTATCCATGTCAGGGAGATTTTCATCCATAAAGGTTTGCAGTTCAACCCCTTTGCACACATTTCCTTAATCTCTTTTTTCAATTCCATACTAATTCTCGCCCTTTTTACCACAGGGATGGCACTAGAAGCTTTCTTGGGGCCCATGGTGACTTATTTTGCAGTTACAAGCACTAAAAACAGTGGGATAATGTGAAATGTACCGAATGTATGTGTAGATGCGACCGCACTGGCTGGCTTGTAAACACTGGTGCTGAGGCCACACATGGGACGCGTCCTGGACGAATCATGTAAGGCGAGTTTTTTATCGTGAGGCGAGGCAAAAATTTTGCATTCAAATGCTTCACATGGCGGATTTAACGTAACGCAAAGTGTTCATAAGGCGGGGGTCCACTGTATTTTCTTTTTGTGGATTTTCTTTCTTTTTGGGTCACCCTGCCTCGGTGGGAGACGGCCGACTTATTAAAAAAAAAAAATTCACTTGCATTTCTGCCATAGGAAAAGTGTGAGGACGTAGTGATGACATAGTCTTGCTCCATTGTTTCCCACCATGCCACGCTTCAGTGCTCTGCCAGGGCTCAGTGAGGAAGGAGGCTTTCTGCGCTGTTCCTCAGTGCCCCTTTTTCCACTCGACCACGAACTTTGCCACACTATATCTCTGCTCCAAGTGGTCAGAATTGGTCAAACTAAACTTTTAATTGCAGAGAAGACCCATGCACTCACCCTATTAGAGCAAGGTATGTCTGTGATATGCGTAGCCACAGACATGAAGGTGACGAGGATGGCAATTGACAACCTCATTTCCACCTGGCTTTTTCTTGAGGTCTGTGGCTGTTATGGCAGGATCTTATAAGACTTCTCTCTTCAGGATCTTTTCTGAGTGAAGAGAAGTCTTTTGAGTGGTACAGTGCCAGGTGGGAGTGAGGCAGCTGCTTTCTTGAGGTTGTCAGTTGCCATCCTCGTCACCTTCAGGTCTGCGGGTACGCGTATCACTGACATGCCTTGCTCTAATAAGGTGAGTGCATGAGTCTTCTCTGCAATTGAAAGTTTAGTCCAACCCATTCTGACCACTTGAAGCAGAGATATAGCGTGGCAAAGTTCATGGTTGAGTGAAAAAAGGGGCACTGGGGAACAATGTAGCAAGCTTCCTTCCTTACCCAGCTCTGGCAGAGCAGTGAAGTGTGGCATGGTGGGGAACAACGAAGCAAGACAGGCTCCAGTACACTACGTCATCACACTTTTCCTATGGCAGAAACACAAGTATGCACCAAAATCTCGTGTACAGTTTTTTTTTGAGTTGGACATGTTAAGATTTTTTGCGGGCACTGTACTTAAAATTAACCACATTGGACTGAGGCCACAATTACTCAATAACAATTACCTCAATAACAGGCAACATCATGTAGCCATAAATGACACCTCAACTAGTACCCAACCCATCAACCCAGGTGTCCCCCAAGGCAGCATTCTGGGCTGCCTTCTTTTCCCCATCTATACCAAAGACATACCTCACCACCCAGTCCATAATCCTCATTGATAAGTTGTCACTGGAGAACAAAACCTGTTGAATTTACCTGGGAGTGGGGGCTTTGCTTTGCATGGCATGGTGAACAAGGAATACTAAACATGGTGTTAGACAATGCACTGCAGTGGCTCCAATTTTCTGTATACTGTGCACACTGACTGTGCAGACCCAGTCTCTCATATGCAGACCTACAGGCCTCCAGTGCCAAATTTGAGGCAGCTAGAATTAATGTGTAGATGTATGTAAATGATGCTGGCATCAATAACGTAGAGCTATGTATGACACACTCAAAGGGCGTGATCGGGAATCACAGAATCAGTAAAAATTATTATTAGTAGGTGGGCCAGGCTATGACAGCCCCAAATAAACAAGGCACAAACATCCCTATAAATTTATAACAATATATGGTAATTTGAACTAATGTTTTATAAAGTTTTTCTTCTTCTCTTTTTTAGTAAATGTCTACAGGAGAAGGGGTTACTAGCCCATTGCTCCCGGCATTTTAGTCGCCTCATACGACACGCATGGCTTACGGAGGAAAGATTCTTTTCCACTTCCCCATGGACAATAGAAGAAATAAAGAACAACAAGAGCTATTTAGAAAAAGGAGAAAAAACCTAGATGTATGTATATATATATGCATGTGCGTGTCTGTGAAGTGTGACCAAACTGTAAGTAGGAGTAGCAAGATATCCCTGTTATCTAGCATGTTTATGAGACAGAAAAGGACACCAGCAATCCTACCATCATGTAAAACAGTTACAGGTTTCTGTTTCACAGTCATCTGGCAGGATGGTAGTACTTCCCTGGGTGGTTGCTGTCTGGCAAGACAGTGATGGAGTGAATGATGGTGAAAGTTTTTCTTTTTTGGGCCACCCTGCCTTGGTGGGAATCGGCCAGTGTGTTAATAAAAATAATTGAACTAATGTAATTTAAATTAAGAAATACTGTAACTCTAATAGTTAAAAAGCATGCACAACAAGCCATAATTGCTTACCTCTAGAACAGGTCCAGAACTTAAGATAGTTTGCTCCACTCCACTACCATGTGAGCCCTTCTGACTCAGCATGGTAAGATGGTGCAGAAGGAAGAGCGTGGACTCGGTTTTCCCGCTTCCACTTTCCCCACTGATGACAATGCACTGGTTGCGCTTCTGCTTTAGCATCAAGTGATAGGCTGCATCAGCTATTGCAAATATATGTGGAGGAAGTTCTCCTAATCGATGATTTTGATACAACTTCACATATTTCGGATTATAAATTGGATAATATTTGAACGGATTGACAGATATAAGGATGGACCCAACATACGTATAAATGTAACCTCTTTGGAATCTCGCACGTAAATTTTCAAGGAGTGTCTGCTCAGTTAAATTAGGTAACTGACACAAATCAGGGTATTCTTTGTCTTTGGGTTGATATAAGAACTTGTAAAAATAATCACGGATTAGTTGTGAATCAAGCTGACTTGGTTCTGCCCACAAAGAATCTGATGAGATCTTCTCTCTCAGGCAAAACCTGTGGAGAAATTTTATTTCAAAATTAGTTTAAACACACTCAGGAAAGGTATTAAAATTATGTGTTCTACTGATAATCACCTAACATACATGACAAGAAATTGTATAAAATTAATAAACTCTACCAGAAAATATGATTTAACAATCAAGGGACTATTCATATACTACTAATATAAAACGAATGCAGAAATATGAATGTTGGATAAATAAAATTACCAATCTAAACTTAGCTTATTCAAAGTTATTTCAAACAAAAGTTACTTTACAATGACAAACTTGAAATTCCACACACCTGTATTCGTGTTGTTCGTTTTCGTCGACATTTTCAGTGACACTAGGCTGGGGCCAAAGCACCTGTAAAGCCACCGGATTCTCCAGTGGCCCCAGCCTCCTCTCCTTACACTCTTGTCCATGAGCATTACCAATGACCTCAGCCAATTCATAGTGTTGGGGATTGGGAAGCCCAAGCCTCTCTACAATACAAATGGTGATTTCTTGAGAGGTGGTCTGTTTGCTGACCTCAATAGAAAGTGCTTCATAATGAGGCGACAATGCCCCAACAAACACCTGCACTATATAACGGCTGTAATCCATCTTCAGAGCTTCAGGACAAAGAGTCTGGATAGTCTCTTAATAACATTTTGTTTCTCACGGGGTATATAAGCGCCATCATCAAGTGGCGTGGAACAGTGTCCGCTCTTGGCATACTTCTTCATTCACTCCTCCAATTATAGCATAAATATAAACACAAACATGTTGTTCAAGTGTTTTTCATCTAGAGTGCACCAACAACCCATCTTTCTGCATTAACACACACAAACACTTCCCTTTGACTGTGAACTTACACTCTAAACACTTCCTTACTGGATACTTCAATATATACAGCATATCATATGTACACATTTTTACATTTTTCTTTAACTGAAAAAAAGATAGAATTCAAAACAAGAATTATTATATGCATTATTAAACCCTATTATTTGCAAAAAAAAAAAAAAAACAGTAATTATACATTTTTCAAAATACAAGTTCATTGTTTTCAACTTATTGGTACAAAATATTGTACATTAATGCAGCATCAGGTCATAACTCTGTGTTTATCCATTTCCATATAAGTATTCCCACTTCCATGTTAGTGTTCCCATATACATTTTTCCAACTTCCGTAATATTGTTTCCATGTAGTATGTACAGTAGGGCCCCACTTATATGGCAGGTTAGGTTCCAGGCTACCACCGTAAAGTGGAAATCGCCGTAAAGTGGAACACCTCTTTTTTCCACTTTTAAATGCATACAAATACTAGATAACAAGTTTACACTAATATATATTAAGTTAATAAGTAAATAAGTTTATTCAGGCATTCACGAATGCAGTTATATAGATTATCATACATAGCAACAGATGTGTAAAGTACCTAGGATAACCCAAAAAAGTCAGACAGTATGACTTATTTCCATTGGGGTTAGCAGTAGAACTAGGCATTAAAAAACAATAAAAAAAGTAAAATGCACATATAGTACACTCATTACTTACCTTAAAATATTTGTAGTCTTAATCTAGGGTGATATGAGTAGTATTTATTTTAAGAAATCAAGTGTGGTATGTATGGTAGCCAGCCGGGCTATCATACTAGGCCACCCCATCCACACATAATATTCTATAACATTTAACCCTTAAACTGTCCAAAGGCAGATCTACATTTGCACACGTAGCGCTCCGAACATAGATCTACAGTTTTTTACATTGTTTCTTATGGAGAAAATTAAGGTCGGAGCTCTACACGCACAAACGTAGATCTACGTTTGGACAGTTTAAGGGTTAAGCATCCCAGAGCGATGAATTGCATATACAGTTCACTCATTACTTACCTTAAAATATTTGTAGACTTAACGTAGGGTCAGAGGTGAGTAAACGAGATAAAACAAATAAATGAGAGAGAGAGAATGAGTACATGAGAGAGGACACTCATGGAGTTATGTAAACAAACCAGGCAAACGTGAGTTACGTAAACAAAGTGTACACGTCTGGTTTGTGTACAAGTTACATTGTGTACAAGTTGTCTCTATGTTGATATGGTAGAATAAATAGAGGAACACTCCCATTCTCATGTAACACCATTTTTTAGGAGAAATAACGCTCTGAGTGAAGGCATATGAAAGGAATAATTTTCTACAGTTACGCCCAGTAACACATTTTCTCTTATGTTAGACTAGAGAAAACGTTATTCCTGCCGTCACTTGTACAAGTTGTCTAGCTACCACATCTCACATTTATGTTTATTTATTCTCCTGTGGGGTGTATTTATTATCTTTATATGTTATGTATCGTGTTTATATAATTTTGAAAAAAATATCATAGCTGCATTAATAAAAATGTGTATTTTAACGTAATACAGTGGACCCCCGCATACCGTTGGCATCACATAACGTTAAATCCGCATACCGATACATTTTATCGCTAAGATTTTGCCTCGCATACCGCTAAAAAACCCGCTCAACACTACTCGTCCGAGACGCGTCTAATGTGCGGCCTGAGCCAGCCTCACATGTTCCGCCGGTGGCATTGTTTACAAGCCAGCCTCCACGGTAACATCCAAGCATACAATCATAACATTTCGTATTATTACAGTGTTTTTGGTGATTTTATCTGCAAAATAAGTGACCATGGGCCCCAAGAAAGCTTCTAGTGCCAACCCTGTGGTAAAAAGGGTGAGAAATATTATCGAAATACTGTGGTTCCATGGTCAACTGCTGATGCTGCTGCTGCTGTAGCACTGTCAGCTGCTGCTGCTGCTGTAGCACCATCAGCTGCTGCTGCTGGTGCTGTACCACCGTCAGCTGCTGCTGCTGCTGCACTGTCAGCTGCTGCTGCTGCTGTAGCACCGTCAGCTGCTGCTGCTGCTGTACAACCGTCAGCTGCTGCTGCTGCTGTAGTACCATCTGCTGCTGCTGTAGCATCGTCTGTTGCTGCTGTAGCATCGTCTGCTGCTGCTGTAGCACTGTCAGCTGCTGCTGCACTGTCAGCTGCTGCTGCTGCTGTAGTACCGTCTGCTGCTGCTGCTGCTGTAGTACCGTCTGTTGCTGCTGTAGCATCGTCTGCTGCTGTTGTAGCACTGTCAGCTGCTGCTGCTGTAGCACTGTCAGCTGCTGCTGCTGCTGTAGCACCGTTGTTGGTGTGGCTTATTGAGAATACCAAGAAACAATTAACCCCAGACGGTTAGCCCTCCAGGATAACCCAAAAAAGTCAGTGTCATCGAAGACTGTCTAACTTATTTCCATTGGGGTCCTTAACCCTTTGAGGGTTTTCGTCGTACTAGTACGTTTTACGCGTAGGGGTTTTTGACGTACTAGTACTCATAAATTCTAGCGGCCTCAAATCTAGTGGGAGAAAGCTGGTAGGCCTTCATATGAAAGAATGGGTCTATGTGGTCAGTGTGCACAGTCTAAAAAAAATCCTGCAGCACACAGTGCATAATGAGAAAAAAAAAACTTTGACCATTTTTTTTTAATAAATCAGCGACTTTGCAGTGTATTTTCGTATGGTATTTATTGTTGTATTCTAGTTTTCTTGGTCTCATTTTATAGAATGGAAGACATATTACAGAAATTGAGATGATTTTGACTGGTTTTACAAAGAAAGGTGCCTTGAAATTGAGCTCAAAGTAGCAGAAATGTTCGATTTTTACCAAACTTCAAAAGTAAACAAATCGTCCCAAGCGTGCAATACACGTCAACTGGTGAGTCTAATATTCTTTCACAAGTGCACCAATAATATTTATACCATTTTTTACACTAATGCAGTAGTCTGCATAACAGTAAATCTTATATTTTTTGTGAAAATAAAAATTCAAAGTGGAAAGCAAAAGAATATAAGAGGGGACTTGAGACATGACTAATGACTAGAGGAAATGTCATTTTAGTGCCAGGAATGTCTTTCTTGTTTATTCTGGACCCTATTCCGAAATTGGCATCTTTTGAAATTTGTGTGAAATTGGCAAAATTGCTAAATTCTGACCACTGTACTGGATAGTTGAATTTCATAAATGAGTGGTTTCTTGCATCCATTCGATAGAAAAAATGGAGTTCTAGCGAAATATTCATGTTTTTTGTCGACTAGTACAGTGAAATTGGCCGAAAATGGGGCTCAAAATGGGCAAAATCGCCGATGCGTAAACATCGCCGAGACCGCTAACTTTGCGAGAGCATAATTCCGTAAGTTTTCTATCAAATTTCAAACTTTTGGTGTCTTTATGATCGGGAAAAGATTCTCTATCTTTTCATAAGAGAAAATAATTTTTTTTTTTTTTAAATTTGGCCGACCCTGAGAACGAGTTTCGGAGAGGGCCTGTCGACCCTCAAAGGGTTAATCTTGTCTCCCAGGATGCGACCCACAACAGTTGACTAATACCCAGGTGAACAGGGAAAAATGCCTGGAACTAGTGCTCATATTGGTGAATTTAAAGCCAGCAAAGGTTGGTTTGAGAGATTTAAGAATCATAGTGGCATACACAGTGTAATAAGGCCTGTTCTGGAAGAAAATGCCAAACAGGACCTACAGTACTCAGGAGGAAAAGACACTCCCAGGACACAGTGTCTCATCAGTCATTGCTGCATCTTCAATAAAGGTAAGTGTCATTTATTCTTCATTTAGTAGAGTAGTACATGCACAATATATACTGTGCATGTACTACTCTACTATTGTGCATGTATCCTTCTCTTTGTGTGTAGGAAAATGAATATTTCATGTGGTAAAAAAATTTTTTTTCATACTTTTGGGTGTCTTGCACGGATTAATTTGATTTCCATTATTTCTTATGGGGAAAATTCATTCGCATAACGATAATTTCGCATAACAATAAGCTATCACGAACGGATTAATATCGTTATGCGGGGGTCCACTGTATATGACATTTAATGAGACTCTGTGATTATTATTATTATCATTACAGTGGACCCTCGAGATTTGGCAGCCTCAACTTTCGTGAAATTCGACCTTCGGTGAGTTTTTTTTGGCAAAATTTGGCCTCAAGTTTCGTGATTAGACTCGTGTTTCGGCGACCGTCCGGTACCCGTCTGCCTGTCACCACACACACCAAGCCAGTCTCCCATGCCATTCACGCTTAGTGTGCCATTGTTTACCAACACGTGACCATCACCCCGCGGGTTCATACAATACATTTCATAATAATCCATTGTTTTTTGTGCTTGCAACTGCTAAATAAGTCATCATGGACCCAAGGAAAGCTAGTGCAAGCCCTTTGGTAAATAAAGTGAGGAACATGATGCAGAGGGATTTTGAAGGGTTTGAGGCAGACCCTGTCCCTGCCAACCCTCTGCCTGTTGTGGAAGGTGTTGTGGCACTGGGCAAGTCCATGGGGTTGGAGGTGAGTGACGGGGATGTGGAAGAGTTGGTGGAGGACCACAGGGAAGAGCTAACCACTGACGAAGTGCAAGAGCTTCAACTGGAACAGCATCAGACCACAGCCGAGGAACTTGCTTCTGAGGAGGAGGAGGAGGGAGTGGATGAGGTGCCTTCTTCAAAGATTAAGGAGATTTGTGCCAAGTGGAATGAGTTGCACAATTTTGTTGAAAAGTATCACCCTGACCAAGCTGAAACAAGCCATATCTGCAACATGTACAATGACAGTGTTGTGTCCCACTTCAAGAAAATCTTAAAGAAACACCAGAAAAAGACCTCTCTGGACAGATATTTTGTGCGACAGGGGTCCAGTGACTCTCAAGTTGTTCCCAGTGGCATTAAAAGAAGAAGGGAAGTAACCCCAGATAAGGACTTGCTACCTAAAGTCCTAATGGAAGGAGATTATCCTTCCAAACAATAGTGTACACCTTCCTCCTATCCCCTCCTCCCGTCTTCCATCCACCCAGAAGTCTTCAGTAAAGGTAAGTGTAATGTTATTATTT